AAAAGTCATAGACAACCGTTTAACTTAAACAGAGAAAGAGAATGTACAGCATGTGATTCAATCAATGTTCTTTTTTTTTGTTTTTTTTCATTAGAAACGACGGTTACATTATATCCCTTCAGGGTATAGCGCAAAGATCCATCAGATCGACCAGGCGATCAGCATACAAAAAAGGGTTAGTTAACTAACTTAAAAAAAGACTGAAGAAAGAGGAAAGAAGCGAATTAAAGTTCCCAGAGATTTGCTGAGCTCGAGTCAAAGGGTCCAACCTGCATAGGATCGTTTTCTTGATGTGAGCAACAATCACTGAAGCAAGGGAGGAGACAGCCGAATGAAACCTAGCATTTCTTTATCTCCAAATCCCGTATAAGGAGACCTGGAATGCTAGTCTCATGATAACAGAGACATTAGAACCAGAGCCGGGGTTAAGCAACCAAATAAGACATTTGTCGAAGTCAGATGTCAGAGTAAGCCTATCGCGGGTCAAAAGTCTGTTTCTAACCGCAATCCAACAAATAAAGGAGTGTTTAGGAATCCTTCCCTTAAACCAAACAGATTTGTGCAAAGGCACAGAATGAACCGTCGGATGAAGGGCATGACAAGTGTGAGAGGATGAGAAGTCTTTTGGAGTACCAGTTGGGCCAATCTTCCACTTGAAGCAATCATCTACTTCAGATGCAATAATATGGACAGCTGGAGGGAGGCAATTTTGAAGCAAAGAGATTATCGGGTGTCTACTCCCTGAACAAACGATCCACCAGTCTCCATTGGATATAGCATCAGCGACCGAAGCATCAATAGGGAGGCCAGAGCATCTTCCTGCTTCGCCAGTTAAGTCCAGCAGTGGTCCAAGAGAGGTCCAATCGTCATGCCAAAATTTGGCAGTGATCCCCGAACCAATTCTCAGAAGAGAAAGAGTTTTGCCAAATGCCTTAGGATGTGTTATTGGAGAGTTGATTTATAAAGATTTTTAGAGTTTAAGATTCTATAGTTATTGGTTTGTGGATTTTTACATTTTTAATAGATTCATCTGTTATTCATTTAGAGATTATAAAAATCACTTGTTATTGATATGATGATTTTTATAATCTAATCAAAATCCATTGTTATTCAAAAAGTCTGCTATTTAATGATTCTATGATTCTGTTATAATCTAGTGTTATTGGCATAATGATTCTTTGTAATTTAATTCACAAATCATGATTCTCAAAATACTATCTATATCCCTTGGATTCTCAAAATCTGTCATATTAAAAATTTTTTAATAGATTGTTTAAATCCATAAAACTCTCTCTAAATTTTACAAATCCAACAAAATTCTTAAAAATTTGACAAATCTCATGATTTTTAAAATCAACTAAAATCTTCATAAATCCAACTCCCAATAACCCCCCCTTAGTTTGTAGAGACGCTTCCAAATCCAACTACCAGAGGTTGAATTTCACAAATCCCAAAAGCTAGAAGATCGAAATTTATTCAGCCTGATCCAAGATACCCATAAAGAGCCTGCAGAAGTGAAAATCAACCAGATTAGCTTCAGACCCATAACCTTATTCCAGTCATGGAGTCTCCGAAAACCAAGACCACCGCTGCGTTTGGGAGTGCATACGAAATCCCAAGAAATCCAAGCCCTACGAACTGAATTAGGAGCTCCACTCCAGAGGAAGGCATTGCAAATTTGCTCCAATGTGGCAATGCATTGGTTAGAAAGGATAAATATGGAAACCCAAAAATTTATCGTCGAGTACATAACAGACTGAACAAGTTGCAGCTGACCAGCAAATGACAATTGACAGATAGTCCAAGAAGAAAATCTGTTCGCAATTTTCTCCACTAGCGGCTGATAGTCATGTTTGGTCATTTTTTGGGAGGTGAGAGGCACACCAAGATATCTCATCAGAAGCAATCCAAGAGAGAGTCCATGCCTCTCACAAAAAGCTCTGCTGCCTATCTGATTACCACCGTCTAAGAAGAGGAAGGATTTCTCTCTGTTAATTGCCAGACCTGTAACAGATTTGAAATCTTCAAGAATATCCAGAGTACCAATCAGCGAGTTTTCAGAACCATCAAAGAATATCAATAAGTCATCGGCGAAACTTAAATGTGTAACAAGGGGAGAGAAGCAATTTCTTCATCAGTAGGAATGAGCACTAGTTGATCGGATATGCTTTGAGGACACCTAAAAGGATGAAGTGCCTGAATCTCAGAGACCATAGGAGGATGAACATTGCGAGCCTCAAAACCCAGCAACTGACGATAAAACGAGACAATCATATCCTTAATCTGGTCAGCATTATCAATCTGATTATCCTGCGAATCTCTAAGGTGTTTAATAACATTCCTGGCTTGATTTGCAACCACCGCTTTGAAGAAAAAATTGGTTTTTGCATCCCCATCCTTAAGCCAGCGAATTCTAGATTTATGCTTGTAAAACGATTCAAGGGCATTAGCAAAGAAGCTCCAGGAGGCTCTAGCTGCAACCTCGTCGTGGAACAGAGAATCGGAGGGAGAAGAGAGGAGATCTCCTTGAATTGATTCAAGACGGGAGAGAGCGTTCTTGGTTTTCTGCTGAATGTTGGCAAAGCCTTGCCTGTTAAGAGAACTGCAAAAACCTTTGGCGGTATTCAGCTTCTGACCGATAGTAAACAGCGCACACCCCACCCCATTGGGAGACAACCAAGCATCTAAAACTTTTGCTAAAAACTCTGGGTAGGAGGAAAGGAAGGAGAAGTATTTGAAGCATTTCTTGATAAATCAAACTAGGAGAGTGATCAGAGTCACCTGGGGGATCAGAGATGGCCATTGACTCTGGAAAGTAGTCGTGCCATTTCTCATTCACCAGGACCCTGTCGAGTTTGCAAAGAATAGGATCCTCGTGTCTATGATTAGCTCATGTGAAGAAATTCCCTCTGCTCTTGAGATCATGAAGTTTGTTATCAGCTAAAGCAAGTCCAAAAGTCAAAAATACCAGAGAGAGAGAAAGCCGAAGGAATAACAGAGAAGTGCTCTGATGAATCTGCTATCTGGTTAAAATCACCCGTAAGAGCCCAAGGGCGAAATCTAGCAGGCGAGTTCAAATTTATCTGAGAAATCTCAGCCCATAGGTTGTGACGCTGACCTTCCGTGTTTAGAGTGTAGACAAAAGCTACCGAGAAAGAGATACCTGAGGCCGGAAAATGTACACCTCATAGAATAAACTGCTCTAACTTAGAGAAAATAACCACCGATATGGAGGGATCTAAAACTACCCAAATTCTCCCATTGACAGAGTATTGGTAGTTATCCGCAGATCTCCAACCAGGGAAAGTAGAAGACAAATCTGATCCGCACTGTCAACCTTAACACGCGTTTCCAAAACACCATCGAGCAAAGGATTATTAGACGTAACCCAGCTTCTAACAAAACGCTGTCTTGAGTCACTACATAAACCGCGAACATTCCAACAAAAAACCTTTATTATGTACATAAAATGGAAGGAGAACGAGGTCAAGCAGTCGAATCCCGAGCCACAGAGTGGCTTCTTGCAAGGATCGACTTAAGGACAGGTGTAGAACCGAGAGCCGCAGTCACTGAAGACTTTAGAGGGATAAACTTTGATGATTTCAGCAAGAGTTTGATCGCCTTTTTTCTGGCAGATTTAGTAGCGATAGGGCCCCCGGCCATGATGGCATGGATAGTGGAGACTGGAATTGAAATCATACGTTGCTGAGGGACAACAGATTTCCCCTTATCAATAGACACAATGATAGCAGGAGGGAGATGATCAACTCCATCGGGCAATGAGGATTTGGTCTGCAGTGTCGTTAGAAATCTCTGGAGGAGGGATGTCTGACGTTACCAGAGGGTAACTTTTTGTCCTGGAGCGAGAACGAGCTCTGCTCTTGGTTTTTTTGTTGATTTTGCTGGCAAAGGGATCTTTGCCTTGGACAGAGGGAGGATCAGTGGGAGGCTCAGTTTATAATGGAGGAACCACACTATTGATGAGGGAGGCACCAGAGCTGACCCTTTACGGGGTTGAGAGGTGCTGCTAGAAGATTGAGTGTTGGGAGGCGATTTTTTTTTTGTAGAGCCTTGGGGCATCTGTTTAACAAGTGACCAAATTTGCTACAATTCGAGCATTTTGGAGGGAGACGAGGGTAAGTGACGGAGACCCGAGCCGAATTGCCTTCAGTATCACGAACAATGATAGTTGAAGGAGGGGAACTATCTAACATGATCTCAACTTTAACTTTGGTTTCCCCGATGTTCACTAAGTCGAGACGGGACTTTTTGGTGTATAGGGGGTCACCGATGGCACTTGCGATACAACTAATATCGTCAAGCGTATACATCATGGGGGGACGTCTTTCAACACCGCCCATGTTGGAGCTGAGACCAATTCTGGCAGCTTTAAAGAACCTGAAGTAGACCACGAGGAACTCATTCCCTGGTTGAGAGAGAAGGAATGAAAATAAGACAGGTATAGTCCAAGATTTTGCGCATTGAGATGTTGTGTGCATTCCCCAAATCGGATTTAGGTCGGCGAAAACAACTGATTTGAGAAGAAGACCATGAAATTGAGCCACGATGTAACCATTCCACATCTGCGAAGCTTGAAGAATAACAGAGGAAGGAGCTTGAACAACTGGTGTACCATCAACACTGAAAGAGGGAGTGGCCATTTTCTTGAGGTTTCTTAACGAGGATTTGAAGCGCTCAGCGTACGGCAGAGCCGAGGAAGCTGGAATCGAAGGCGGAACCGAGGATGACTGAGGAGGAACCGGTGGAGAGGGGGGGGGACTCCAGAAATGGAGAAACCGCGGAATCTGACTGAGAAAGCAGAACAATCAAACATTGGGGATCTGAGGAAGGAACAGAAGAGACGAGAGATAGATCTAGAGGATCTGACTCCTGGGGAGGAGCAAGATCTGGAGAATCCATCAGAAAAGAAAATAGGTAGAAGAAAGGGGGATGAAGAAGATTCTTGGCGACCGGCGAGAGGCCAGCCCTCGGCGAATAGACGGAAAAATCTCGATTATTCTCTCGCAGAATCGCTCTAACACGAAACCCGAGACACTCCTCAAACAGATTCTCAGATTCAATCAATATTCATTCTAAAAAACATAAAAATCCATGGAAAGAGGTAAATTTTTTCTTCGTTCTAAGCCCCATGTCCTCTGTCGGATCCAGAAAACCCTCACAAACTTTGTCGGCGATCTGATCCTCCACTCTCCATCTGTTTCTCCTGCAAAATCCAACAACACCTGAAGACTAAAAGGTACTATTACTATTGTTCAGCCTGCGATGTGGAATTTCATAGAGGTTGTCACATTTTTCCTACCTTAATTAGACACCCTTTTCACCTTTTCCACACTCTCACCCTCACCTCCTCAAAACACTGTGAACTTGTTATATCTGAAATCCCTGGTCTTTGGGAAGCATATCCCTCTAATTTAGAAAACTATAACTCTGATTCATCTTGTGAAGAGTGGTTCGATCTACTTCAACAAAGGGGAAAAGCATCTTGGGCCGTTTAGTGAAAGCCCAGGCTATTGAATGGTTCTGGGCCTTGGAGCGGACTGGCCCATTAAACTGGAGGTATAAAGGGATAAGAGAGACGAGAAAAAGATCTGTAACAAACTTCAACGATCGTCTTCTTCATCCTCTGAACTCTGATTGTAATCTCTTTGGAGAAGGTCTGTAATCGGTGCTCATACAGTGAATTTCCGGGATTCCGTTCCTGAAGAGAGATGTACCCAAGGTTTTTGGGGAACTCTATAAGTCTCGTGTGTCAATCTTCTTCTTCTCTTCAATAATATTTTCTTGTGCGTTGCGAACACAAACAGAGAGCTGAGAGTGAGAGTGGATCAATTACGAGAGCGATTTGCGAGCTAAATTGAGCTAGATCTTCAACAACTGGTATCAGAGCTGAGGGTTTAAGGATCGATCGAAACTCGCAAGGGAAATTCAAGAAAGAAGAGCAACAAGACTTACAAGGCTGGGAGCTAGCAGGGGAGATCTGATTTGATTCAGGGAACCTGGTGAATCAAGAACAACTTCGTTGGTTTGTTCACGCTGAGTCGGAAACGATAACTCAGGGAGTATCTCTAAAACCTCTCGACTTACTTTCACAAATATAATTAAGAATCTCCGGATCTGTTCTGCATCGAACTATCCTGTTATTGATTCCCAGTTCATATTCCTTGAGTAGCTCACTTTGACCAAATCTTTCTTGAATCTGCAGGTGAAAAGGAAGAAACCGTTAAAGAACTACAAGGATGGAACGAACACCAGGGAAGTTCGAGATGGAAAAGTTTGATGGGAAGGGAGACTTCGGCATGTGGAAATACAAGTTGCTTGGGCAAATGGAGATACAGGGTCTACTTTCAGTCTTGATTGAGGATCAACCGGATCCGACGAACAAAGGTAAGGATGAGGAAACGTCGGACGTGAAAGCAGATCCAAAATGGGCAGCGAAGGACCTCAGAGCAAGGAGTCTATTAGGAACGTGTCTAAGTGATGTAGTGCTGCGGAAGATCATGAACGAAAAGACTGCAAAGGGAATGTGGAATGCTCTTGAGAGAGACTATCAAACAAAATCTCTCCCAAATAGAATTTACCTGAAGCAGATGTTTGCCAGTTACAAGATGGAGGAAAATAAATCCATTGAAGAAAAGTCTTGATATGTTCCTCAAACTGGTGGCTGATCTTGCAAGTCTTGACATAACGATACCCGACGAAGACCAGGCTATACAAGTCCTATCTGGCCTACCGCCTCTATATGAACCTCTGGTTCACACGCTAAAATACGGTATGGGAAAGGATTCTCTATCCTTGAGAGATGTAATAGCTTCCGCTTATGCAAAGGAGGTGGAGCTGAAGCAGAAAGGACTTCTAAGCAAGGGTAAATCAGGAGGTGAGGGTCTATATGTTGAGACAAGGGGAAGGTCAGAAAGTAGGAACGATCAAGGAAAGAACAGCAAAGGAAAAGGTAACAAGAAGGCCAGGTCCAAGTCTAGGGACCCAAAGACGAAAGCCTGTTGGGTCTGTGGTAGTGAGGGGCACTGGAAAAGAGACTGCCCAGAAAGGAAGAAGAAAAGTCAACAAGGGAAATCAGGAAACTCAGCCAATATGGCTACAAACCTACCAGAAACTACGGCTCTAACCGCCAGCCTTGTTGCAACGACTGATGACTGGGTAATGGACTCAGGCTGCACTTTTCATATCACGCCGAGGAAGGAACTGTTGTCAAACCTAGTGGAATTTGAAGGCAACAGAGTCTTGATGGGAAACAACACAGAATGCACAGTTAAAGGGACCGGTCAGATCACAATAGATAATCCCGATGGCTCAGTGGTAACGCTAAGTAATGTCAGATATATCCCAGACATGGGAAGGAACTTGATTTCATACGGACAGCTTGAGCAATCTGGGTGCAAATACAGTGGAGGAGACTACGTTGTTCAGTTCTACAAAGGGGATAAAAGGGTTCTTTCAGGGAGATACAATCAAGGTCTGTATTACCTCGAGGGTTCTGTAAGGAAAGCTGAAGCTAATGTGGTGAAAGGATCGGTAGACATGACGAGAAGGTGGCATAAGAGACTTGCTCACATGAGTCAGAAGTCTATGGAATCATTAGCCAGGAAGGGCTACTTAAGTAAAGCGGAGGTTGGAGACCTTGGATTTTGTGAAGCTTGCGCGATGGGGAAATCTCATAAACAAAGTTTTCCCAAAGCCAAACACACAACAAAAGAAATACTTGAGTACGTTCACTCTGATTTGTGGGGTTCTCCAAGTGTAACACCAAGTTTATCAGAAGCACAATACTTCATCACATTCATCGATGACTTTTCTAGGAAAACGTGGATCTATTTTCTCAGAACAAAGAGTGAAGCATTTCAGAAATTTGTGGATTGGAAATTGCTGGTGGAGAATCAAACCGGGAAAAAGCTTAAGTGCTTAAGGACAGACAATGGTTTGGAATTCTGCAATAACAAGTTCGATGAAGTGTGTAGAGAATCAGGGATGAAGAGACACAGAACTTGTCCTTATACCCCGCAACAGAATGGGGTTTCTGAGAGAATGAATCGGACGATAATGGATAAAGTGAGGAGTATGTTATCCGAGAAAGGGCTAAATGGTGAGTTCTGGGCTGAGGCAGCTTCAACAGCTGTATACATAATAAATAGGACTCCCTCATTGTCATTGAACTTTGAGATACCTGAAGCGATCTGGATCAATGGTGATCTAGACTATGGTCATCTCAGAAGTTTCGGGTGCATATCATATGTTCACACCATCAGAGATAAAATAAGCCCCAGAGCAACTAAAGGGATATTTCTCGGATATGGACAAGGAACGAAGGAATATAGAGTGTGGCTCCTGGAAGATCAGAAGGTGGTCATCAGCCGGGATGTGATCTTTCAGGAAGAAAGTCTGTTCAAAGACTTAGGCAACGAAGAAGAAAGAAAAGCTCAGGCTAAGGGTAACAAAACTAAATGGGTTACCTTCAGGACAAACATGGAGGACGTTCTAGAGAACATACGGAACAGAGTCAGACGTCAGTTCAAGGTGGAGCAACTTCAGACGACGAAGTCTCAGAGTTTTCGGAAGGGTCAGGCACTACAGGTACTACTACGGATGTTGAATCAGAGGAAGGTTCTGATTCAGAAGTTGAAATGGGGTACTGGTACAGACATGGGAACAGAAGATCTGAGCGGCTATCTGTTGGCAAGGGATAGGGTTAGAAGGGAGATTATACCTCCATCAAAGTTTGAGGATGCTGATTTTGTGGCCTATGCTCTCGCTAGTTCAGAGGTTATTGACTTTGAAGAACCAAAATCTTATTCAGAAGCTCAAGAGAGCAGGGAAAGAGTTTTTTGGAACTCTGCAAGTGACAGGGAAAAAGGTCTCTTGACGTTATCTCAGGAAGGTTATTTGACTAAAGTCCTAAAGTCTTTTAACATGTGGGATTGTAAATCAGTTCGGACTCCACTGGGACCGCAGTTTAAGCTACAGAGTCTTAATCAAGAACAAGAGTTACGACAAGCAGAGTTAATGGAGAACGTACCTTATGCCAGTGCAGTAGGCAGCTTGATGTACGCCATGGTTGGGTCAAGACCAGATCTCGCATATGCTGTTGGTTTAGTGTGTCGGTTCATGGGTAAACCTGGAAAACAACACTGGTTAGCTGTGCAATGGATCATGAGATACATTAAAGGGGCTGCAGGTGTAAACTTAACTTTTACAAGAGAAGCTGACTTCAGGATTAAGGGTTACTGCGATTCTGACTTTGCCACTGACTTGGATCGAAGAAGGTCTATAACGGGTTATGTCTTCACTGTTGGTGGAAATACGGTCAGCTGGAAATCCACACTTCAGAAGGTGGTGGCTTTATCTACAACAGAGGCAGAATATATGGCATTATCGGAGTCAGTAAGAGAAGCAATCTGGTTAAGGGGAATCTGTGAAGAAATGGGATTCAAGCAGGAGGCAGTGGAGATATACTGTGACTCTCAAAGTGCGATATATCTAGCAAAGAACTACATGTTTCACGAAAGAACGAAACATGTGGCGGTAAAGTTCAACTTCATCCGCGACATAATTGCAGAAGGTGAGGTGAAGGTAATTAAGATTCATACATCGGTTAATCCTGCTGATATGTTGACTAAAGTCTTGCCCGGAGATAAGTTTGAAGGGTGCTTGAAGACTTTGAAGGTTTTCGTCGCCTGAGGAGGCGATGAGAGTCGTCTCTGACCAGAGACGACGGGTGCTTCCAGGGTCAAAAGGAAGCACAAGGAGCTGAGTCTGGTCCATAAGACAAAGCTGAAGCAGATTCACGATGTTGAGTCGGGCCAGGATCGAAGGATATTCACTGGTGGTGCCCAGTCGGTGGCACTGAGAGTTGAAGAGACACGAACCAAGGTGGAGTTTTGTGAAGAGTGGTTCGATCTACTTCAACAAAGGGGAAAAGCATCTTGGGCCGTTTAGTGAAAGCCCAGGCTATTGAATGGTTCTGGGCCTTGGAGCGGACTGGCTCATTAAACTGGAGGTATAAAGGGATAAGAGAGACGAGAAAAAGATCTGTAACAAACTTCAACGATCATCTTCTTCTTTCTCTGAACTCTGATTGTAATCTCTTCGGAGAAGGTCTGTAATTGGTGCTCATATAGTGAATTTCCGGGATTCCGTTCCTGAAGAGAGATGTACCCAAGGTTTCTGGGGAACTCTATAAGTCTCGTGTGTCAATCTTCTTCTTCTCTTCAATAATCTTTTCTTGTGCGTCGCGAACACAAACAGAGAGCTGAGAGTGAGAGTGGATCAATTACGAGAGCAATTTGCGAGCTAAATTGAGCTAGATCTTCAACACATCTGACTGTGATTCAAATGAAAATCATCAAAAGTGCAAATATTGTCGGAAAAATTTTCATGACAAAGACCCATACTATCATTGTTCCATCTACAATTTCAGCCTACACACGAGTTGCATAACAAATCCACCACCTCTCACTATTGAAAACCTAAAAAGCCATGACCATACTCTTATCCTCTTTCCTAGACGAGTCCCTCTGCCATGCGATGGTTGTGGCTTCTCTCTTGATTCTATCTTTGATCAAAATTACTCTTGTCTGTTTGTAACTACATGGTTCATATAAGATGTATCTACCTACCTCGTGTAATTAATATCACTCGTCATCCACATCGTCTCTCTCACTCTTCTTCCCTTGTTCCTTCCTTCTCCGGTGAGTTATTCTCTTGTGGAGTTTGTCGCTGTTGGGAATCAATCCAAAGTCCCACATCGGAAGTTTAGACCAATATGGTCTAGTATATAAGTAATGTACAACTCTAATTAGTATGAGGCCTTTTGGGAAGGAGTCCAAAACCAAATCCGTGCGGGCTTTGCCTGTTGGGCCCAAAGCGGACAATATCATACTAATTAGGGGAGTTGGACATGGGCTTAGAAAAGCCCAATAAATGGTATCAGAGCCAGGTTAAGGAAAAATGGACCTGAAGAAGTTGGATTGGACTGAATGTTCGGTGTGGGAGAGAAACCTTCAAAAGTGACCTTGCGATTAAGAATTACAAGATGGTACTAAGTATCGCTGTAGGTTGAAGATCAAGAGTTATATGGTCTTTGGCTTGAGGGGGAGATTGTTGGGAATCAATAGAGTTTAAGGGTTTTGAGAGCTTTAGTTTTGAGCAAGTTTCTAAAGCTAATAAAGAGAGATATTCTTTATAATTTGAGTTCCTAAACATCATTATTCTTTATATTTGGTATCAGAGCCAACAAACTTTAAAGACATCTAGGGTTTCTCCGTCAAAAACAGAGTACTCTTCGAACAAACACAAAGATGGGAGACGATGCGATAATTCCTGCAGCAACGACAAGCAAAACAAAAGAAAGTGTACCTTCTACCGTGACCTGTCCCATGCTTAATGCCACGAATTATACAGTCTGGTCGATGCGAATGAGAGTCGCACTCAGAGTGCATAAAGCATGGGAGGTTATCGAACCAGGAACGAAGGATGGAGACAAAGACGACTTAGCAAAAGCTTTGTTGTTCCAGTCTATTCCCGATGCACTAACCCTGCAAATAGGACATCTTGAAACCGCAAAAGAAGTATGGGACGCTATAAAAACTAGACATCTAGGAGCTGAGCGAGTGAAAGAGGCAAGGTTACAGACCTTAAAGGCAGAATTTGACAGGATTAAGATGAAAGAGACAGATACTATCGATGATCTTGTTGGAAAGTTATCAGAACTTTCAAAAAAATCAGCTGCTCTAGGAGAGAATATAGACGAGCCTAAACTGGTCAAGAAGTTCCTGTCAAGTTTACCAAGAAGTAGATACATTCATATCATCGCAGCACTAGAACAAGTTCTAGATCTCAAGACTACAACCTTTGAAGATATAGTAGGGCGCTTGAAAGCATATGAAGAGAGAATTTGTGGTGAGGAAGAGCAGACCGAGCAGGGGAAGCTCATGTATGCCAATACAGATACACAAAGTTCTCAAGGAAATCAAGGATACGGTAGAGGAAGAGGTCAAGGTGGACGCTCTTACGGACGCGGAAGAGGCCGTGGCCGAAACGGGAACTACAACAACCAACAGAGGGACATATCCAAAGTCGTATGCTATAGATGTGACAAGACTGGTCACTATGCATCTGTTTGTCCTGATAGATTACTGAAGTTACAAGAAACTCATGAGGAAGAGAGCGATGACACACATGAGGCTTAACAGTTAATGATGCACGAGGTGGTGTATCTCAATGAGAACAAGGTGAAGCTAACTGAGTTTGAGACGGCTTCTGATGAGGATAATATCTGGTATTTAGATAATGGTGCCAGCAACCATATGTCAGGAAATCGCAGGTATTTCTCGAAAATAGATGAAACTGTCATAGGGAAGGTGAGATTTGGAGATGATTCTCGCATTGACATAAAAGGGAAAGGCTCAATTTTGTTTGTGATGAAAGATGGCGAACGAAGAATATTGGCAGATGTCTACTTCATACCAGACTTGAAGAGTAACATCATCAGTCTAGGGCAAGCTACAGAGTCAGGGTGTGATATCAGGATGAAGGACAACTATCTGACCCTATTTGATAGAGATGGAAAACTGCTAGTCAAAGCAAACAGATCAAAGAATCGATTATACAAGGTTCAGATGGAAGTAGAGAACACTCGATGTCTACAAGTAATGGCATTAAGTGAATCAGCTAGATGGCACGCGAGGTTGGGCCACATCAACTTAGACACCATGAAGACAATGATGCAGAAGAAGATAGTCACAGGCATGCCAAGCATGGCGATTGAACATGAGACATGCGGCTCGTGTTTACTTGGGAAACAGACGAGAAGGCCTTTTCCTCAAGCAACACAGTATCGCGCCACACACATACTTGAGCTTATACACAGAGAATTGTGTGGACCAATTACACCATCTACAGCTGCAAAGAACAGATACATCTTTGTGTTAATCGACGACTGTTCCCGTTACATGTGGTCTTTACTCTTAAGAGAAAAAAGTGACGCCTTTAGCAAGTTCAAAAGATTCAAGGCGTTAGTTGAGCAAGAAACAGGAACAACAATTAAAACTCTGAGAACAGATAGGGGTGGCGAGTTCATGTCTCAGGAATTTCAAGAGTTTTGCGATTCATCTGGCATCAGAAGGCATTTAACGGCTCCATATTCTCCTCAACAAAACGGTGTGGTAGAGAGACGTAACAGAACTCTGCTTGAGATGACTAGAACCATCATGAAGCACATGAATATACCAAATTATTTGTGGGGAGAAGCAGTTCGTCACGCTACTTACCTCATTAACCGAGTCGCTACAAGAACCTTGGTTTCTCAAACACCTTACAAAGTCTTCAAAGAAAGAAAACCAAATGTGGGACATCTAAGAGTATTTGGATGCATTGCTTATGCTAAAACAGAGGCACCACACCTAAAGAAGTTGGATAATAGATCAAGAGTGCTTGATTTTAAGCAAGGAATGGTCAAGGAAAAATGGACCTGAAGAAGTTGGATTGGACTGAATGTTCGGTGTGGGAGAGAAACCTTCAAAAGTGACCTTGCGATTAAGAAGTACAAGATGGTACTAAGTATCGCTGTAGGTTGAAGATCAAGAGTTATATGGTCTTTGGCTTGAGGGGGAGATTGTTGGGAATCAATCCAAAGTCCCACATCGGAAGTTTAGACCAATATGGTCTAGTATATAAGTAATGTACAACTCTAATTAGTATGAGGCCTTTTGGGAAGGAGTCCAAAACCAAATCCGTGCGGGCTTTGCTTGTTAGGCCCAAAGCGGACAATATCATACTAATTAGAGGAGTTGGACATGGGTTTAGAAAAGCCCAATAGTCGCAAACCCGTTGACGTCAATTACGGCCAGTTCTCATGCAACAAAGGATGCCACTATGCTGTTCATTCGAGATGTGAAGTTTTGAGATGACATGAGCCTAAATCTGATATGAAAAAATAAATAACGGAGTCATGAAATATCAAACTTAATTTGATCAAAACTCCCAACTCTTTAAAGGTCAGAGTAATCAAAAACACACGAGACACATGTTGAACCTTGGAGAAATCTTCCCACACGAGATGTAATTTGTTTTTAAATGACTTTTTCATGTTTGATTCAAATCTGCGTGGTGAGTATTATCTTGCTTCTTAGAATATTGTGAAGATGAGTTCTACTCTATCATCACTTATCCTGTAAAATGAGGCGGATTTTGGAACATCGAGCTGTTTAGTAATTTACCTGTTTCATGTGGAAAGACGTGTATCAGACAATTATCAAGCGAGATAAAGCATTTATTCCTTTTTATGAACCGGTGCAGTGCAACTCCAAGCTGATCATATCTCAAGTTTAGTATTCTGTGATTCTCATCTTGAAAGCTGATATTCAGAAAATCTCTTGCCGAACTTCTCTCCATCTGTATTGAAATGACGCCTCACTTTACCATGATGGAAATTCTGTTTCCCCAAAACTTAGTTTCTCACCACCGGAAACTAAATCATTCCAACTTTGTAAGACTAAACCCGACAAGACTATGCTCAACAGCATATGGAAACGACTGCCTCTGTTCTCTTTGACCATTAGACAAGCTCAAACCTTCTCCTTCCATAGCTTCTTTTATACCGTAGTCTCGCATGCTTGCTGCTATCTTAGAAAGCCTGGAGGTGTTATCTCTAATCTCTGAGCCAACATTATGAAGTGAAACCGCCTCACTCAAGATGCAAGGAAGCCTTCTAAACACCCCCTTTGAACCCTTTTTTTTTTTTTTCCTTTCTCTGATTCTGCCTTGAGGAAAAAAGCTTCGAGGATATCTTCTGCATCATAATCAGCTTCTCTAATGTCTACTACCCAGTTACGCACTTTCTTGCTTTTATGCTGCTTCTCATCTGCGTCTTTCAAGAAGCACCTCAAACGCTTCACCTGGTCACCTATACCAAAGAGGAACAACGGTTCTTCCAGGAGCAACTCCCCTAGCTTCTGCACTGTAACAGAAACAATAGCCTCTGCCATTTTACTGTTCTTGATTCACAACTGTGATCCTCCTAATCGCTACCTCCTACACTATAAGAGTCAACTATGAACTATCATGGCACAAGATTCCAGGTCAATTTAATCATAACAATCTTTGTCCTCTTCTGATTTTCAACTCTTAGCATCATGTGAACATAATTCTCTTATACAGCTGAACAAACCACTTCTTAGAATGTTCTTTTGTGTTGGCCCATGAAGCACCAGATTCACATATTCATCCATCACTCTACAACCACAAGTTTCATTTCTCTATCACTACAGATGCTACTGTAGAAAAACTGGACTTCTCTGCCTCGTGATTGAATAAAACAAGTGCAACGCACGAAAACCAATTGTAGAAAAAAAGGAGGCCAGAGAATGGATACAGAGAATCTTATTTTATTTATAAATATGATATGCAACACACCAAATCTCAAGGAGTGAGAAAGACAACACTTAACAGATAACTCTTATTATCTTATCGTAGTCTTTTTCAAGTTGGTGTGTAACAAGAAAGTGTGCTAACTGATGACTATGAACAATGTATATATGCCTCTTTATCTTTGTTTTACTCATCCGAAAGGATAGAGAAAACCAGCAGATATACAAAAACGTTGTTACATTTAAACAACCTAAGAACTATTGTAGAGCTTGCACTTGTTTGTTCCAGCACAAACCGGACATTCGTCTGCATCACCTTCAACATGGCTCAGGCAACGTTGGATTCTGTCGTTCACAACGTCCTGCACAAAGAAATTTTAGCAGATTGCTGAAAGTTCACTGATGCATGAAGGTGCTCACATCCCTCAGGATTGTAAGCTCTCACTTTAAGTATCAAGAAAAGGAGGAAAACATGTTTTATTTCTTACGATGAGGAGATTATGGAGGCCGAGAGGTGCAGTTATGAGATATGAGATGCCAGAGAACTCCTTTGCAGCATCAGCCGTCAACGAAGGGATGTCCTTAATCAGATAAGAGGCATAATCCCACAAGGTCATTGGTGTAAAATCCTCCAAAAATCCCAGTAAATTAAATGCAAGAAGGCCATACCTGATGCCAATGTCTTCCAGGAAACAGAAAAAATGGGCTAACAACTACACGTTTTGCCCCTTGTTGTACACACAAACTGAATGCACTTTTAATAGATGGCTCAGCCAATTCCTAGCATAAAGTGAACATCAGTAAATAGAAAGCAGAACCAAGAAGAATGTCCAAGTTCTCGATTCAAGCGTGTTAAGCTAAATCTAAAAGGATAACAAGAAACTAAAGGAAAGACGAAGAGAATGAGACTGTATCAAACTCATAAGTATGCAACTCTAGTGGTTCACACAAGTGAATTCGATCAGGTGAACTATCAGAAACGAAGGAATTAACTTGCGTTCCAAACTGGTGTCTAATTACAAAACCAAAGCTAATCCTCTTCAGCTATCCACATCTTTTTTACCTATAATTGGGTTTTGTTGAGAAGTATGCAGAAGGGTGAGAGAGAGCATTAGGAAGAATTACCATATGAGCAGGCTCCACAATTGGGTATCCAGTTTTGTCTTTGAACATTTTCACAAACTCCTCTGAAACTCAGAACCAGCCTCATATCATACTGAAGTGAGAGTATAGACAATCTAATAAGGAGAAGGAGCAGAAGAGAAATCTTACCAAGCATAAGATTGGATTCCCGGCGGCGAGAACCGTGATCGACGATTATAATCCCATCAGCACCACCGATTCCATTACTGAGCAACCCTTCGTTCTCGAAGCTCCCCAAACATGGCGATCCTCTTCTACTTGCTCGTTGGGGTCGAAATTTCTCAACTTTTAACGAAATTGGCAAAGCCCATGACCGATTCGTTCCCGTAATTTCACAGGAAGAAGTTGAAATACGAGTCTCCGCTCTGAGATTGCTAGAAAGAAAAGAAAATCGAGAATAGGATTTTTTCAGAAGAAAGCAAAACAAGAGAAATAAAAAACAATATATAAGAGGCAAAAGGATAAAGAACCGTTGGGAGGAGAGGGCGTGAGAGAAGTTCATCAACAACTGACACTGACTCGCCGCCATTGCTCGGCTTTTCAGCTATTATTATACTGAGAGTGATGAGATTGTTTGCATCAATTCTCAAGAAAATAATTTGTAGAGTAAATTAGGTCAATGACTCAAAATATCAGTTAAGAGGCAAATGAAAATTTGTTAGGAGTGTTATTAGAAGAAGATAGTAGAAAAAATATCGGTTGAGAATGTTACCACTAATCTATAGCCTCTTCGGAGACTGGCACTGGCTGGATATCACCAAAGGATGCCACAACTACTACTACATGTAATTTAATATCATCTCTTGAATTTGCTAGAGTGCAAAATTCTAGAATTTTGGAAAATTTCCATTGTAAATGGATTGTGTTGGTGATGATTCATCTTATATATTCAGGAGCCTTTTGTCGTTGACGACGCTTCATATGTCCACGCATCTTTTTAAAGAACTTTGCGAGAGCGGCCTGTTAAACCAACCCATAAAATTCAAGATAGGTTGGAATGGACAGAGCGGTACATGGTCAACGAGATAAGAACCTTTTCATCCGCCTCTAAAATTTCATTTTCAGACAATTTCTTCCCACCTCTGATAAAATGTATGTTGTTCCCAATTGTTAGCATTTTGTTTCACCATTGTAATTTTTTTCTTGTTTTTCCCTTCATTTAGTTGTTAATTTATGCAATTATTTGGTTTTTATGTATTGTTTTTAATGTTTTTTTCTAACTTTTAAAATTATGTTCATTTATTTTACTTTTATTAAGTAGATTGTACTCATTTTTATCTTTTTAACTATTGGTTGTCAATTTATGCAATTAGTTATTTTTGAAGGAAACTTTTTATTATTTTTAAGTTTTAGGAAGTAGATATTTTTTAGTTGATTTTTGTTATTAATTCTGTAATTCTAAATATTGTTTCAACGCAATTTATATGGTTTATTTAGAAACTTTTGCAAATTAGAAGCGTTTAACTTTTTGTAAGGTGAAATATTCGTACTATTAGAAACTAGTGTACATTATTTCTTCACTTTATTTCCTCATTTTCTTGGAAGAAGAAATTTGAACATAATGTTCTTTTTTTTTTTTTTTTTTTTGTCAACTACTTCATTAATAAACAAGTACTTCAATTTACATAGTTTTCGTTCCATGATATTACACTACCAGTTACCCGAGTTCTTGCTATCTTAGCTAGCCTATCAGAAGCATAGTTTACATTACGAGGCACTTTTAAGAAACTAAATCCAGCACTCTTAGACACAAGATCTTTTATATCTTGAATATATGTTGTAAGCAAGGAGTGATCGTTGCTGTTGCAAATTTGGGATCTGAGTGACCTGTGAATAGCTTGATATAGATTTGCTGCATCTCCACAAAATGTAACGTGTTCGTAACCCAAGCGTTTGACGTGAAGGATTGCACTCCTTAAAGCTATTGCTTCAGTCTCAATTGGGCTACCTGTGGGGCATATTGCTTCCATCCCTTTACTTGTTAAAAAGGATCCAACCAACACCTGCATTTTGGTCTGGAGCTATCCAAGAACCATCAACAAAGCAGCAATAATTAGAAGACCTAGTAATGGCTTCTTCAAATGTCTTAACAGGGGTTAACAAAGCGTAATTATGACTTTGATTTTGAGGATTAGGACTATTTGGATGTTGGTTCAAGCTCAATGCTTCCTTCCACATTTGAAATCTACTAGAGTCTTATTTATGAGATCTGGAATTGGATGCCTTTTATTCTTAAAAATCAGTTCATTCCTCATCTTCCAGATACGCCAACCAAAGAAAGGGAATAAACATACTTCCTTACTTTGATAGGGATTAAGACTCTGTAACATAGCAATATTCTGCTCAAGAGAATTTTGAGTCAGCGACAAACCTGAGATATGAACCACCGGAGCATGTTCCCAAATTTCTCTGCTCACCCGGCATTGAAAAATCATGTGATTGACAGTTTCAGGTGCTTCACCGCATCTCTGACAAGTATCATCATGTAATATCTTCCTTTTCTTCAAATTTACTGCAGTTGGAAGAGCATTATGGAGAACTCTCCACCAGAAATGCTTAACTTTAGGAGGAACATTATGCTTCCAACATTGCGTAAATAAGCTTTGATTATTAGAAAAGGAAGAAGTATTAGATACGGTTGAATGAGCTAACTTACGGAGAGCATGATATCCTGATTTTACAGAGTAGGCACCATCAGCAGTATGAATCCAATGAAGTGAGTCTGCTACTCCTGCAATAGAAGGACGAATGCGCTTGATTGTTACAATATCCTCAGGATCTATAATATGCTCTAAGAGCTGCTCATTCCATGTAATAGTCCTTCTATCCAACAAATCGCTAACTTTTAATTTTGGATAACTGTTAATCCCAGGACCATAAGCCGGTGTTGGTGGTACTATAGGCAACCATGGGTCTTTCCAAACATTTATATTTTACCCATTCCCCACAATATATCTTGTTCTAGAGGCTAAGAGTTTTATACCTTGATAAATACTTCTCCATGCATAGCTTGGCTGGCCCTTGAGTTCCGCATGGAAAATATTTGTCTTGGGGAAATACTTAGCTTTGAAAACTCGAGCTAGTAGGGATGTAGGATGCTGTAGCATACACCAACCCTGCTTGGCTAACATTGCTATATTGAAATCCCGTAAGTCACGGATACCAAAGCCACCATTCTTCTTAGTCTCTGTTATCTTTTTCCAAGCCACCCATGGGATCTTATGCCTGTCCTTTGATGCAGACCACCAAAATCTCCTCATTGCACTATTGATCTGGTTAGTAATGCTTTTCGGGAGCATAAAGCAGGACATACTGTAGGACGGAATGGCAGTCACAACCGATTTCAGTAGCACTTCCTTTCCTGCATTAGAAAGAAAATTAATGTACCAACTGACTCATTTTTTTATTTGTTTTCTGCACCAGAAAAGAAAATGCATTATTCTTGTTCCGTCCAATAAATTCAGGTAATCCCAGGTATCTACCAAAACCTCCATATTTTTGAATTCCCAGAATCTGGCTAGGATATCTTTTCTCCTCTTGGAGTATACCTTTTCCAAAAGTAATTGCAGATTTTTTGGAAATTCACAGACTGACCTGAAACTCGTTCATACGTTCGAAGGATGTGTAGAAGTGTATTACATTCATTCTCTGTAGCTCTACAGAAAAGCAAGGAGTCATCAGCGAACAGCAGATGTGAAATTGGAGGTCCACTTCTGCTTGCTTTGAATCCATGAAGTGCTCCTGCTTGAATATGAGTCTGAATTAATGCTGATAAACCTTCAGTACATTATACCTCGCTGGGGTTTGATATCACCAACCGGTTGACCGTTGATCAACACTGAGTATGATGCGGTAGTGAAACACTTCATCACCCATCTACACCAGACTTCCGAAAAGCCCATTTGTTTCATCACAGCAGCTATATAGTTCCACTCCACCTTGTCAAATGCTTTGCTAATGTCTAACTTGACTGCCATATAAGGTTGAACAAGATGCTTAGTATTTAATGAGTAAAGAAGTTCATGAGCTATGAGGAGATTGTCAGTAATCAGTCGATCAGGAATAAAAGCACTTTGATTAGCCGAAATGATATGATTAAGCCAGGGCTTTAAGCGTTCAGCTAACACTTTAGAAATAATTTTATAGGCCACGTTAGCTAAACTAATAGGCCTATAATCCCTTACCTCAACGGGCAGCTCTATCTTGGGAATTAAGCAAATATGTGTTTTGTTTATAGTTGAATCCAAAATATTGTCTTCAAAAAAAGACTTTGCAAATGCTAACAAACCTGACTTGATGATATGCCAATGATCCTGAAAGAAGCCAGGGTTTAAACCATCAGGTCCAGGAGCTTTTTCTCTGGCCATACAATGAATCGCATTATAAAGCTCCTCTTCTGTAACTGGTTTAGTAAGCGCCTGATTCATTTCCTGAGTTACCCTCGGCTTAATGTAGGTTACAACAGAGTCCACATTGCTGCCTCCCTCAGATTGAAATAAGCTGGTAAAATAGTCAATAATAACTCGATGAACATCTTTATCTGAATACCAAACCTTTCCACTAGCATCAGTAATAGAGCTAATTCGATTAAAACTTCTTCTCTGTTTGGTTTTCAGATGAAAGTACCTTGTATTTCTGTCTCCAGCTTGAAGCCATTGGATTCTACTTTTAGTCTTCCAATACTCTTCTTCCATTCTGTATTCTTTCGTCAGCTCAACTTTGAGGCTTTTTATACGTTCATAGTCTATAGGATTTGAATCATACTGTTGACCCAATAGCGTCTTTAATTTCTGAATCTTTTTAAGTGAATTATTGGGATGCTGAGACTTCCACCGAGATAGACATGACCTGCATTTCTTTAAGGCTTTATGAAATTTGTCTCCCGGCAAATGCTGACACTGTGATGAGTGGAGATTTTGACTCATTCATGTGTTTACTAATTGTTTTAGGAGTTTTTGGAGTCTTTTCATGAAGTTTCAGGTGACTTAGAAGCCTTATCAGAGGATTGGAGTGTTTAGGAGGCATTGGAGCAAAAAGAGATGAATTGGAGCAATAAGGAGCTATTTCGCACGCTTTTGGAGAAATCATCTGCGGAGCACCTGCTCCCGGTTTGGACCCTTCGTGGAGCACCTGCTCCAGACGGGAGAAAAATAAGGAAAACGATTTTACCTAATCCTAAGTCGCATGAGATGGAATAAAAAGCCCAGAGCCGCCTGTGTTTTATTATCACGTTTTTCTACAGACTTTCTACGCTTTCTTTTTACAATTTCCTGAACCATAGAGTTTTTACTTGTAAGCTTTTGGGAGAAGAAATCTGCTACATTTTGAGAAGAATTCTGAACCCTATTATCTCTTCTGCGATTTTAATTCATGAATTTCTTTCCATCTGTTTCTGTGTTTCTTTTCTCCATGTCTGAGTAGATCTCTTAGCTAGATTAGAGCGTTCAAAGGATTTCATGAGTTAAAGGATTAGATGCAAATAGGGTTTGATATCTATTGTCTTCACCATTGTTAGACTTAATGCTTAGGTTGAATTGATCACTCAATCTGCGATTTTAGGTTAATCTATTCATCAAAAGTGTAATAGGTTGCTAGAATAAACATTGGTGAGCGATTTATCCTTAGCCAACGACAGTTGAAGTTAAGGCAAATCGTGAACAGATCAAACCTGCTAGCTAATGCTTGTCTGCAATTTTCTAGGTTCAAACGACAGTTTAGGATTTAGGTTGTTAGACAAAGTTATCGAGATCACGACAGTGGATCGATAAGCTTTTCTGTTTGAGTTCGAGACTTGCATTACACTTGTGCCCTGAATAGTCATCTGGTTCTTATCTCTGAAATTCCTGCGAATTGCTTTGGTCTAGTGCTTGTTTTAATTCGAATTTAAATTGTTGTTTGCCATTCTGTTTACTTTTTAGTTTTCGCAACAAACCATCTTTCGTCTTAGCTTTAATTCAATCCTCGCAAAGTCATAGAGTAACACTGGTCCTCTGGATCTCGAATCATTTATATTACAATTACATCACTGTTCTATTGCAGTAGAAACTAGGAGTACATCCAGTGTGATTTCACACTGCAAATTCCACATTTTTTGAAGCTCTTCCTTAACCTCTCTATTATAACGCCATCTATTATCATATCGAAAGAGAGGACAGCCTATCCATTTCCGACCACCTGTATCAAGAAGTAGAGGTCTATGATCAGAACCTATTAGATCAAGGAGTTGAGCTCGTGCTTTAGGAAAAGCATCCAACCAATCAGCAGTGGCAAAAACACGGTCAATCCTGGACTTAATGGTATGTCTATTGCCAGCCCAGGTATGTCTACTGTCTTAACTTCATGAAGACCAGAGAAACTAAGCATTTGCCGAAAATGACGAAATGAGGACTCTGATCGGACAGGACCACCAATCTTATCATCATTACTCTTAATATCATTAAAATCTCCAAGCACTAGGCGTGGCTTGCTGTTGTATAATCCCATTGCTGCCCATAGACTCATCCTCTGCCACATATTATTTCGATGCTTCTGATCCGGATCACCATAGACATAAGAAAGACAAAACAGAGGATTACCAGATTCCGATAGCAACACATCAGAGTAGTTCAAAGTTGGAGTATTTACAAAGTCCAACTCAACCTTGTCATTCCAAAAAACAGCCATTCCACCACTCAGCCCATCAGAAGGCAACACAAAACTGTGGGGAAATCCAAGCTCCGATGCTAAATGAGAGACGTACTGTATAGTTATATAAATATATAAAATTTATGTCGTTCTAGGCCTTTATGTCGTATGTCAGATCCAGCGAACCCTCACAAACTTCGCCGGCGATCTGGTTCTCCACCCTCCATCTGCTTCTCATGCAAAGGCCACCAAGAGCGTGGCTATGTGTGGCAAAGGTACCATTAATATTGTTATATTTGTGATTTGTAATTTCACAGAGGTTGTCACGTTCTTGCTCTAAAAATCAGACACCCTTTTCACCTTCCCCACCCTCTCATCCTAACCCTCTAAAAAAACTCAGATTTTGATACCTCTAAGATCTCTATCAGTTGGAGTTTAAAGTATGCTGATTCTGAATCAGAAGACTATGACTGCGATTCATCTAAAGTCAAAGTTCTTGACAATGGTTCAGATGAAACTCATCAAAAATGCAATTTTTGTCGGCAAAAACTTGTCGGCAAAGATTCATCATTCTTCTATCATTGTTCTATTTGCAATTTCAGCCTACACTGGATGTGCACAGTGAATCCCCCACCTCTCACTATTGAAAACCTAAAAACCCATCAACATACTCTTACCCTCTTTCCTAGAGGAGTCCCTTTGCCATGTGATGCTTGTGGCTTCTCTCTTGATGCTATTTTTGATCAAGTTTACTCTTGCCTACTCTGTAACTACGTGATCCATAGGAGATGTATCTACTTACCTCGTGTCATTAAGCTCACCCGTCACCTACATCGTCTCTCTCCCACTTCCTCTATTGTTCCTTATTCTGGTGTGTCCCCTTGCGGAGTTTGTCACAAACCCGTAGACGTCAACTACGGGAAATACTCTTGCAATAAAGGATGCGACTATGCTATCCATTCGAAATGTGCAACAAAGACTCAAGTGTGGAATGAGATAGATCTTGAAAGAGTGCCGGAGGAAGAGGAAGAAGTTCTTGAACCATTTGTGAGGATCGATGAAGAGACTATACAACATTTTAGTCATGATCATCAACATCTAAAGATTCAGGGGAATGACAACCGCGGCGACCATGAAAATAAGTTTTGCCAAGCTTGCGTCCTTCCGATGACAGTGTCAGATCGCTTCTATAGCTGCATCTATTGCGACTTTGTCCTCCATGAAGCATGCACATCCCTTCCTCGCAAACAACACCTTCCCGTACACAAACACTCGCTCACCCTCTTCCATCCTTCTTCTAGCCCCCCTCGCAGACAACACAATCTCGTGTTTAATTATCAGTGGCTAGGTCTCTTCTATTGCAACGGATGCAGACGAAATTGTTGTGGTTTCATGTACAAGTGCACCGAAAATAAGTGTGACTATCAACTGGGTGTAAGGTGCGCTTCACTTACTGATCCTGTAATTCATGGTTGCCATCCTGATGATCACCCTCTGTACTTCAGTTTTACCCAAGATGAAAGGAGGGAATGTTTGGGTTGCTGGTCTCACTGCTCAAGTGAGTACTTGGAATGTATCAAATGCAACTTTGTTTTAGGTTTTAAATGTGCTACGTTGCCTTCCTTGGTACACTACAAGCATGATAAACATCCACTCACTCTTTGCTGCGGAGAAAAAGAGACCACGAATCTCAAATATTGGTGCGAGATCTGTGAAGAGGAATTAGAACCATCGGCATGGTTCTACACATGTAACTCTTGTTTAGTCACTCTTCACGTCACATGTTTATTGGGAAATGAGATCTACTTCAAGCCAAACCATGGCATCAGACGTAAAATAGATTCAGATAAGGTTGATATTGCACGCAACAATGGTCATACTAGACCAGCGTGTGATTTTTGTCAGGGTCGTTGCGTGGACACTTTGGTATTCAAGGAGTCAAATAGAACCTTTTGTACTTGGGTTTGTGCCTTACAATCATTGAATTCGTAGTTTTAGTTTTTGTACTGTGGGTCAGATGGAATTTTTTTCTTCTATATTTGTACTTTTATGTTTTGGGTTTCTAATGTATCTAATCCTGTTATCGGAATGAGTGTTGTATTCAAAGTTCTGAGGTCCTGAGATGACGAAGAAAATTTTTGGTGTTTTTTTTTTGTTTTAAAGATCCATTTTTTTCGTTTTTGAGAGAATCTTAACTGCAAAATAAATAAAAAATAAATCACCCATCAGTAACGAAATCACAGCTATAAGAAAAAACTAAACTTTGACCTGCAAAATGGAAACTTTTAAAGACCATAACATCCAACTCTTTAAAGGTCACAACACTCAAAAACAACAAAAGGCACATGTTGAACCTTGTAGTAGTCTTCACACCAAAGATCGACTTGGTATATAAATGCCTTTGTCATGTCCCATCTCACTTCACTCTTTCAGGAACTTCAGTTACTTACAGCAAATCCACTGAAACAAGACGTCTTCAACAGTCCACTCTTCTTCAACAGTTTACTACCCACAAATTATCCTTCAAACAATTGAAGAATCTTTAAGTTGGGAAGCTTCTCGAGAACCAGAAACAGCTCATCGACTAATCCGCACTGCCACAAACGTAATGTACCAAGATCAGAGGAGAAAGTCTGTTCTCCAGGGAGCTTTTCTAGTTCTAATTAAGGAACAGTTCCAGTTCAGAGAGATTGTTTTCTTACCATGAGAAGATTATGGAGGCCGAGAGGTGCAGTAATGAGGTATGAGATGCCATAGAAGTCCTTTGTAGCATCAGCCGTCAACAAGGGAATGTCCTTAATCAGTACGGGTCATGGTCTCTTGCTCTCTTTCTCTTTCACGTATTCAATTCTGAGATGCAACGCCAAGTCAAATAATGGTAGGTGTTTACCAAAGAATATCCCACGAGAGAGACATCAATACTTAGATTACTGTTGTAGATTTTGTTTTTTTCTTTCAAATTACCACAAACGTTTTTACAAAGATCCAAAGGGGCTGTATTGCAGAGAACTAAGCATTTGAAGTGATTTAAATTAAAGTGTATGTTATTCAAACATGGATTTTAAAAAGTCTTTCTAAAATCTAGTGTTATTGGATATATGATTTGTAAATGTTTCTCAAAATCTACTGTTTATCAGAAATGTTTTAAGTATTTAAAATTAATGATTTCAAAGTTAAATTTAAGTATTGGAGTAGTTTCCTAGTTAAAAATACAAAGTACCAAAGCTAATGGTTTTAGGTGGAATTGCAAATAATTTTAAACCAAATCATGACAACTTCATTAAAACATCAAAAGCATCTAAAATCTTAATAAAATTCAAATCACTCAACTGTTTAGTTCAATACATCCCTTAAAAGAGAAAAAAAAAACTGAAAGAAAAGTAAAGTTTTAGACATGACAAGCCACAAGGTCTATTGAATATGGTTAGAATAAGCAAAATAATGAGTACTAAAGCTTAATTAGGCGTTTGATGGGCCTAGACTACCCCCTATGAAGCCCATACGCAAATGAAAACAAAACCGGCAACGCCAAGCCACGTCACCAAGTCAAAAGCCACAGTCGGAAACTCAGCTCCCGAACCTACGAAGATCGGTCGGTCTCTCTCGCGAGTTTCTCTCTGGTTCACTCTTATATTCTAAGTCGCAAATCTTCTCTCATCTTCTTCCTCCAACTCTGATTACACAAATCTATCAAAGAGGGAATGAGCAAAGCCCGATTTTATCCAAATCTGTTTGTTATTTAAGCTAGGTAACGAAACATGTTGATACCTATTTTCTTCTTGCCTAGCCAAGTTTTCCTAATTTTTATTACATGCAATTTTTGAGATTGGGACTTTCATATCTGCTACAAATTTGATTTTGGTATTTGGCTCATGCCGTGAATTAAATGAAAGATCCATTTTATTTTGTTTGTAGTGATCTTTGGAACTGAGGAAAGTAACTTGCGATGTATACGAGGTTAATAAGAAGGAACCAGAGATTGAGTTTTGTATTGAAGCAAGACAAATGCTTAGTTAGACCAGCGACTCGTGACTTAACCGGTTCACCATCTAATAGATTAGCAAGTATACTAACAAACCATTTGACAAGAAAGTATCCATCTCGTGGTGCTATTGCCACTGGAAGCTCTTTGAGTCTTTCTTGGAACAGCCAATTGCGTCGGTTTAGTTCTGAAGGTGATGGAAGGAATGCTAGTAGTGAGGATAACCGTTTCCCTTTGAATAAAGAAAAGACAGGAAAAGAGAAGAGCGCTTTAGGTGTTGAGCATTTTGATCCTCACGCGCAACTTGGAGAACAGGACCAAATAGATTGGCTCAACAATGAGAAGCTTGCAAGCGAGAGCAAAAAGGAATCACCATTCCTTAATAAACGGGAAAGATTGAAGAATGAGTTCTTGCGGAGAGTTCAACCTTGGGAAACTATACAGCTCTCTTGGGAGTCTTTCCCTTACTATGTCCAGTAATAACCAAAGACAGAGTTCCCTTCTTTCATATACTCATTTCAATATGCTAATATGTTCTGCTCTTGCTCATTTTCCCCAGCGAACACACAAAGGATACTCTGGTGGAATGTGTTAGCTCACATATAAAACAAAGAAATGCCGCGTCCACTTATGGTGCTCGTTTAGATTCTTCCAGTGGGAGAATATTACTCCAGAGTGTTCCAGGCACTGAGCTGTACCGAGAGAGGCTGGTACGAGCACTTGCTCGAGATACACAAGTTCCCCTGTTGGTTCTTGACAGCAGCGTTCTTGCCCCTTACGTGAGATTCTGACGTTCATTTGCAATGACATGCTACCGTTTTTTTTATTTCTGTTTCATGATGCTAGTAGTGTGATCTTTGTGGATTCTGATCAGGATTTTGCTGATGACTATGATGAAGAGTCTGAATCAGATGATGACACTGCAGAATCTGATCAGTGCACTTCAGAGTCAGAAGCTGAGGAAGAAACCGATGCAAACAATGACGAGACGAGTAGCAGTGAGGCGAAAATAGATGGAACTGACGATGAGGAAAGATATTTGGAGATTTCTAAGGAAGTCCTCAAGAAGCTTGGGGCCGACATAGAGGACATCGAGAAGGTATGCTCTATTTATGTGGTGGTTCATTAATCTACCTTGATTAGATTTTTGACAATGTGAATCTCCGTTACCTTGTCATATAGTAGATTCTCCAATTTCTTACTATTTATTTGTATGGACTTTTATTTATCGGAGTGATTACACATGGTTTGAAAAGGATTCTACGCGATGACTGCTGCATTACTCTTTTGTTTTTGATCGATAGAGTTTACAAATTCTGTACATGAGCTTAACTGCTCTGCATTGTGGCAGAGAATGTCTGAACAAGTACTTGGATCTTCTGAGGCGTCAGAAGCTGCAGATGTTGATCATGATGATAAAGCCAATCGGCCTCTTAAGAAAGGTAGCTATCTCTCAGCTTCACCTTGCATCACTTTCAAGGCTCTATGATGTATTTTCATCATTGTAGAAGCTATGGATGTTCTCTCATAGACGTTTGACCTTTTCCTCTTTAATTTCTCAAATTCTTAATCTGTCCACATGTTTGCAGGAGATCAAGTTAAGTATATTGGGTCGGCTAAGAACGAGGAATCAAAGCATAGGTAATTTACTGATTCACTTCTGTGGGAATCTAGTTTCCCTTTACTTGTGCTTACAGATTTTAAACGTTCTCCTTGATATACCTCTACTGGAATGTGGTTCGTGCCTTCGTGGGAAGATTTTATCTAACACTTGTTACGGGGATAATGGCAGAAAAAAATAGATGTTTAGCTTTTGCATAGTGTTGGAGAAACGGTGTTTGATCTATATCCATTTTCATAAGGTCCATTTCGAAGCATGGTTTCTTTTAGTGCTTACGCCCCATCCTAGCATGTTATTTCATGAAAATTTGGTTCTCTGGTGATCTGGAGAATCCTTTCAGCTATAGTTAACGCTTGCTATCTTTGTTTCATGTTTAAAACATTGATTGTGTTTGTAATTAAGTCAAAGTAAGTTGGAAGTTAGCTTCATAATTGCAGTTTTTTTATGTTTTACTTGCTTCATACCTATCATATATTATCAAGCCTTAAAATTCTTGACTCACTCACCTGGACAGAGAAATGATTGGATCTGTGCTCCGTTCGTGTTTTGTCAGTTAACAAATAGAGTGGAAATTGATATGTAGCTACTTATAATTTCCCATGTTGATGCTCGATCATGCCGTTATTGCAAATTTGTTGCATCTCTGTTTCCTGTATTAATTATCATTTCTCTCATGTCCATGTCGATTAATTTTGATTTGATTGAATAAAAAAGGGTTTCAGTTTAAATCCTCTGATCTGTTTTAGTCGTCTAAAATACATATCGAGTGTCTATACCTGTTTATGTACTTTTATTTGAATGTGTTTTTTTTAGTCTATAAGATATGTAAACCTTCTACCAAGTTTACAATCGGCGTAAGTTTTGGAAATAAGGCATCAAAAGCTTCATCCTTCAAAACCTGGATCTTATGACCAGTGGTTTGAAGTAGGGCGATCCGTATTTTTGATCTATGCTAGAGAAATCTTCTAGTAATAGTAATAATGATTGCATCCTTATTTTATGTTGCTTGTAAATGGATCACAGGGTCGTATTGGGGAAGATTTCTACATCTGATGGTCAAAAAAGTGCTTTTACCGTTATTCCTGGCAGGTGGGTTGGTAAGTCATCTTGTGTCAAAAAAAGATAAATGTCTTGTTACTTTTAGGTTTTGTCTTTCCTCTTCCAAATTTGTTTTTTTCCCTTTAGCATTCTTGCTCTTCTAGGGGTTGGAAACACCATTGGCTGTCAAGATATTGAACTTGATGCAGGATTGGCTTCCTTTTTCATATTTTAGTGTACAAAATCTTGAATTTCTTAAATTTCTGACAGCTAGATGTAGTCAATGATTCAATACCTAGTTGATATTTTCATTAAATCAATAGTCCATCATTTCAAGTTTATTCCGCTTATGTCATAGTCTGGATTTACTCAGATTCTTCTGCTTTTCTTTTGTAGTTTTTGTCTGTTTCTTTATGATTACATGCTTTGTTATTTTACGTGTTGTGTAAGCTTGTGAATAAGTTGACAAGTGGTAGTATAACTTTTGCACTATG